AACTCTTTAGCTCTTTTGAGTCTATTTTCTTTCTTTTACTGAAAATAATTTCCAGAACTCGTAGTGACAAACACATCTACGCATTGTCAAATCCGTCTCTTGATTTATCCACAAAAATTTGCAGCAATTGAAAAAAAAAACCAAACATCACCAAAACCAGCTATTAAAAAAATCTCGAAATATTGCGTAAACACTAGTTTAACGCGTAAGTAGATACATAATAAGTGACTCCATAAAAAAATAGACAGCAGCCACCAGCCACCATGGCTGCAACCTCTTTAGTGGCCAAACCAGTCTCTGCCAATTGAACATCAAATCAACAACTAAATACCCAGACACAGTCATAAAAAGGTGGGCTCCCCTTGTCTGGTCTGTCATTTGTCCACTGACCATAATGAGCCTCTTTGGAGGGGTGCTGCTGAAAGGCAGTCTCTAAGTTCTACATTTTCATTTCAAGTCACATTTCGGCAACTATTTCAGCCGCAATTTTTTGTATTGAACTGAGATTTTATTTTGGCCAACTTTGGTCCGTGTTTTGTAAATCTTAAATAGCATAAAATATGTGGCCAGACGACAAGTGGTCATTGTGTTTGGTGGCTGCTGCTGTTGCAGCAAATTGTATTAACAGGTTGCACATACCCACCGCCATCGAACTCGAGCCAATGTTGTGGTATTTGGCAGACTTGATGCTGGTAATTAAGGCAAGGGAGACACAATTACGACACGAGACAAAAATCGAAAAAATTTTGAAAATCCTATTGGAAGAAATTATTAGTTATTTTATTGTCCCCAAAAGGTAAAAAAACAAGTTAAACAGCCCGGTCGAACTTTGAATACCCTCCACCATTTGGAACGAATTTGGCAATTTTCAATAAAATAAAATTCCGGTGAAAAATGTCGCTAAAATGACAAAAATACCGAATATCGGGAGGTACCATTATAAGGGGGCTATACCAAAACGTGGACCTACATGGCCTATTTTCAATACCAAAAGTCCTGCAGACTTAATATACACTTAAGAGAAATAAAAAAGAAAGAGCAAAAAGATCGCTGACCACCTACATATCGTTTATCAACAATTCAAAATTTCAACAGAAGATCGCCAGTTCAACCCCCCAAGTTCAATTCCCAAAAAAATAATGTGTAGTAATGTTAAATATTAACTCAGCCCTAGTGTCCTAAAAATCGAACGAAGGGTTTTTGAACGTATTTATTGGTGACAGTTTGGTAAGTACTTACTTATATTCTGAGAAAATCGTTTAAGGCTGTCCTAGCTAAATAAACTCCATTGAGAATTTTTAAAATCCATTGATATTATATCTATTGAAAAATGTATTTAGGAGTATGTAGGAGTTCTTCTAAATTTCTTCCTTTTATAGAAAACCTTTAGAGGGTTTTTAATCTGCAGAAATCCCTTAAAAGTTTTCCTCACTTTAGATGGTCTTTAGAAGCTGCTCTCGCTGTAGAAAACTTCAAAAAAAAAAACTTCAGGCTATAGAGAGTTTTTTTTTTTTTTGGATCTTCCAGCTGTAGAAGACCTTTTAAAGGCCTCGACAATCTTCTGGTTATAGGATATCCAAAACACTTTCAGAAGACTTCAAAAAGAATAATTTATTGAAGAAAACCAAATGGTATCTTAACCATAGAAGACCTGTTGAAGGTCTGCTGATTATGGGCCTCTTTAAAAAGTTTTCCTGTCATAGAAAACTCTAAAAAGGTCTTCTAAGAATAGATCGCCTCCAATAAGTCTTTTGACAATGAAGAAGTCTTCTGGATAAAGGAGACCTCCAAAAGTGTGTTGATTATTTAATACTCCTCCAAGGTTTTCTTGACATTGAAGAGCATTCAAGGTTCCCTAGCTGTAAAAAAGATTTTAAACGTTTTAGGTCTACTGGCTGTAGGGGACCTCCTGAACGTCTTCTGGCTGTAGAGAGCCTCTAAAATCTCCAAATATTCTACTAATTATATAACCCCTCTTAAAAATCTGCTGATTTTTGGACCCATAAAAAAATCATCCAGCCGTAGAAGAACCTTGAAAGGTTTTCTGACAATGTATGACCCCCCAGAATTCTTTTGACAAGAGATGGCCTTCAATAAGTCTTAAGTCGTAAGACCCCTCGAATGTGTTTTTGCGATTGAAGAACCTATAGGATCTATATAGACCTATAGCCGTAAATGAGTACTAAAACGTTTTTTGACAGACAACATATGAAAGGTCTTCTAGCTACCGGATACCTGTTTAACACTAGAAAAGGATCTTCTGCCTGTAGGAGACCTCCAAAAAGTTTGCTAACTATAGAGCGCCTCTAAAACCTCCAAAAAGTCTTCTGACTATTGAAGATCTGTTAAAGGCACATAAAAGGTCTTTTGACAAGGGATGGCCTCCAAGAAGTCAACTGGATAAAGAAGACCTTCAAAAGTGTGCTGACTATGGAAGACCCCTCGAATATCTTTATTCGATTGAAGCACCTTACAGAACCTCTAACTGTGGAAAAATCTAAAACTTTTTCTATCTATAGTAGACTTCTAAATGGTCAATTAACTAAAGGCAACATCTGAAAGGTCGCCTGACTATAGGATACCTTTTCTAGCTTTAGTAGGCCTTTCAAAGATCTTCGGGTTAAATAAGACCCTTAAAATGTCTTTTCACCATTTGTGACCTACAGACCTTCAGATTTTAAAAGACCCCTTAAGGGCCCTGTGGCTATAGAAGATTCCCCTGGCTATATAAGGCACTTCCTACTTCTCCTGGCTCTCGAAGGTCGTTTTAAGGCCTTCTGGCAGTAGAATATCCTTCAAAGGTTTTCTAAGCGTAGGAGACCCTTCAACGGTCCTCTGAAAAAAGCCTAGTTGAAAAAAGCCTCCAAATGTCTTTGATTGTCTTCTGGCTATAGAAGGACTAAAAACTTCTGGCTATTGATGTCCCTTCAAAGGCTTTCGAACGATAGAGGACCTTTCGAAAATGTTCTGGATATTGAAGACCCTTACAAAGTGTTCTGGCTACAGAAGACCCTTCGTAGCTTTTTTAGCCACAGAAGAGCCTTTTAAATAACCGTCCGAAGTCCTGTAGAAGACCCTTCCATGGTATTTTGTCTATAGAAGATCCGTCGAAGGTTTTCTGTCAATAGAATACCCTTCGTAAATCATCTGATCATAAAAACCCTTCAAAAGTCTTCTGGCTAAAGAAAACTATTGAAATTTTAAACGACAGCTGACTCTTGAAAACCTTTAGAACATATTCCGGCTATGAAAATACCTTTCAAAGGTCTTCTAGCCATCGAAATCCGTTCGCAGTTATTCTGATTATGGAAGGACCCTTCATAGGTTTTCTGTTCAATGCATGAAAGGACTTCTTGATTTAGAAAGCCCTTTTTGTGACTGTAGTATAAGGTAACTTCCAGTAGGGAGTTCTAGTTAAGGAAGGCTTCCAAAAGATCTGCTCACTATGGAAAGTTTTCTTGCTATGGAAAACATATAAAATATCTTAAAGCTATGGGAGAACTTCAAAAAGTTTTCTGGTTATAAGTGACTCTTAAACTCATTTTTGCTCGGAGGCTTCTAAATGTTATTTTGGCGGTTATGGCCTCTAAAAGACCTCCTAAACATAATATACATTAAAAAAAGGCTTCTGGTTGTAGACGATCGATCATCTTTCTTTCTGTAATAGAGGGCCTCCAAGACATTTCCTGATCTTCATCGTTAAAAATCTTTACCCCATAGAAAAATTATAAAACCCACCTGCCCAAAAAAGACCTCCGTAAGATCTTGTGGCTATACGAAATATCTCTGGCCATAAGTTTGTGGTAAAAAGTCTCCCACCTAGAAGAGGCCTCCAATACACCTTTTGGCAATAGGTGTCTTTAAAAGGGTCTGATGGGTAATGAAAACAGTTTAATTAGTATTCCGGCTCTAGAAATACGTTGAAGACCTTGAGGAGGTGTTTCGACTATAGTAATCTGTAGAAGGTTCTTTGACAGGTCCTTTAAAAATCCTCTAGTTGCAGATGAAGAGGATATGCTGGCAATACCTCTAACAAATACTCAATTTATTTACAAACAATTTATTGGGTATCTAAGGGACAATTAGAAGATTTTCTATCCACAGACACCCTTAAAATGCAATCCACATCTTCTGAAGCTTAGCTTACTCTTCTGAAAGTAGTTTTGATCAATAGAGATGTGACCTTATATCCACAGGGGACTTTTTAATTGTATTCTATTTTTATGAGAACTTTCGAAGGACTTTCATCCAGAGTAGACTATGGAAGACTTTAAGACCTTCATCATTTTTTTAATACTTCAAAAGGGTTTCTATCAGTAGAATGCATTTAGGCCGCCTTTGATCAATAAAAACATATTTGATTAAATTATATTCTATTCAAGTAAAGTTTTTCTCCGAAGAAAGTCCTCTAAAAACTAATTGAGAGCTTTTTCTATCCATCGACGATTTTTAAAAGATCTTCCATTTTGGAAAGACTTTTAAACTAAAACTGAACTTAGAAAGCATTTTAAATCACCTCCAATGGGAAAATCACATAAAAAATTCTTCTTTAAAATAGTTCGAAAAACGAAAGACTTAAGAAACATACTTGATTGCTGCGAACATGTATGTGTCTTGAGTCTTTTTATTTTTAGTTCGAAAACGGTAAAATTTCTTTTATTTATTGGCCCAAAATACTAATGTTTTCTTCCCTCACACCAAGCACCAGTTGGCTTGACTTAATACTGATTGAAAATAGACTAAGAATTGGAAACTCCAATCATTCTATGCCAAACATTTTTGTTTTCCGTCCACATTTAACTAAATTATCATCCAATTATTCGATTAAAACAATTGAAATTGAGTGGCCATTTATGGGGTCTAATTCGCAACGATTAACCTTAAATACCTCAAGAGAATGCAGCGAACAATAAAATTATTTCAAAACACGCATTGGAACTTTTTGAAACTTTTTCAAATCTCTATAAATAGTGAAAATTCTGAATTTTTAAAATTATTCAAGTTCTAAAACTTAAACTCGCTGTAAATTGTCTATCTATTGTCGGAAAATTGTTGGGAAAAAATATTTTTTGTGAATATGAAATCCTTTATCCTGCTCGTCTCAGTGTTGAGTTTCCTTAGTTTCTGTTCGGCAGTGCCACATCCACCGGCAACGACAGCAGCTCCCATGAAGGGGACCTATGACAGCCGTTTCGATAACATCGATGTTGATGAAATTCTACAACAGGAACGTTTGTTGATGAACTATGTCAAGTGTCTGGAAGGAACGGGTCCTTGCACACCCGATGGCAAGGCATTGAAAGGTGGGTGAAGAAAAAACATTAAAAGAATTAATAAAACATTAGATTTCATAGACCAATTGTTATTGGTGAATATAAGTAAAAATTATGCAGTCCTTACATATTTCTGGAGATAGTAAATTTCTAGCTTTCTCCAGAGATTGCTTTCAAGTAGTTCCAAATATTTTTTTTTTTTTTTTTTTTTTTTTGATTTTCTGATTTTTGGTTATTTTTTCGACCGATTCGATTTTAAATTTTATTTATTTTCGAATTTCGCATGAATTTGGAATAATTTTTTTTTTCATCAAAAGATTTTTTTATGACCCACCCAACATAACCCGTCTGGTCCCCCTGCTACTCTCTCTCTCTCTCTCTCTTTATTTTTTGATCCATATTTGGTTGATTTATTCAGATCCCCTTTATTAGACTATTCCAATTTCAGAGACTCTGCCGGACGCTATAGCGACCAATTGCGAAAAATGTACGCAGAAGCAGAAAGAGGGTTCGGACAAAGTGACTCACTTTTTGATCGACAATCGTCCCGAGGATTGGCAACGTTTGGAGAAAATCTACGATCCGGAGGGTACGTATCGCAAGGCTTATCTGGCGGAAAAGGAGACTTCTACTACTACTACCAGTAATGCTAATCCGGAGGCTAATAAATGATAATGGCTGTGACTTTTGGCAATGTTCCAATGATTATGAGTATATATTTACAATAGGTTTTAAGGATTTATATATCTTTTTACATTTAAGAGAGAAAACATATTAAATATTAAGAGAGCATTTAAAGAAAATGAGTTTTTAAAAAACACCTCTAATGAGACTTCGTGTTAAAGGAAGTGCTTGCATGGCCTTCTAGGACCTCAAAACTCTTAAAATCCTTGAAGAACTAGAGAAGGTCCTTGAAAAGCAGGACTTAAAAGGGTATTTTAGCTTTAGTAAAAGTTCCTGACAACCGTGAATGGACCTTGAGAAACATTCGTGAAAAGAAGAACTTTAAAAAATCTTCAAAGACTGAGTGAAAACTTTTAAAAGACCATTCACCAGGGGAATAAATGCTACGTAGAAGAACTGAAGGTTTAAAATATTTCCAGTTTTAGAAGGACACTGTTTACTTCTTCCAGCATCAATACCTTTCAATTGTTAGGATTGTCATCTACCAAATCTTCATAAATACCAAATTTGAAAGAAATTCGTGACTAGGATTATCAAAATACCGAATATTGGTGGGTATCGTTATATGTGCGCTATAGGAAAACATGTACACATACATACATACAAAGTTTTGCCACAGGAGCTAGAACCCATTACGAACTACAAACACAATTTTGTGGACAAATCCGAGGAAAAATGTGGCCAAAACGTGGACCTATATTTACTATTTTCCGCCACCGGAGCTAGAGCCCATTACGAACTACAAATACCAAATTTTAAACAAATCCGTGGAAAAAGTGACGAAAATCATTAAAATACCGAATATCGGGAGGTACCGTTATATGGCGGCTATACCAAAACCCGAAAATGAGATATTTCAATACCAACCATTCTAGACACAATACAAATTGTTCTGTCAAATTTTGAAGCTTGAAGTGGGCTGTAACGTGATTTCAATAGACAGACGGACAGAAAGACGGACATTTCTTTTCAAGGTGGAGGGTATAAAAATAAATGTTGCAAACCACATTTACTTTTCCACCAACAATACCTAGTTTTTTTTTTAATTTCTACAACCTCAGCCTTATGGCTACATCTGATAAGGAAAAATTACCTCATGGAAATAACGGTTTTAGACCCTTGGTGTCTTGAAATTTATTTTAGGAGATTTGGGGACAAGATCATGTCTGAATCCAATTAAGTTCAAATATTTAGTCGTATATTGTAATATTTTTACCAAACTTATATAGGATTCGGAGATGGGCAACATAGATCCACCCCTACTAGTACCTGTCACACAAAAGTTCAACATTTCAAGGAGCCTAAGACAGATGCGAAAATGGACATAAGATACCCCCAAAGGGTCTCTAAAACAGCTTCCTTCAAAAGGGTTTGATAAGTAATGAAAATTTTGGCTAGAGAAACTCGTTGAAGACCTTAGGGAGGTCTTCCGACTAAAGTAATTTTTAGAAGATCGCGAAGGTTCTTCAAAAAAATATTCTTTAGAAACTCCACGTCTCGAAGGCTCTTTAAAAAAATATTCTTTAAAACATCCACGTCTCGATGGCTCTTTAAAAAATATTCTTTAAAAAATCTACGTCTCGAAGGCTCTTTAAAAAAATATTCTTTAAAAAATTCAAGTCTCGAAGGCTCTTCAAAAAATATTTTTTTTAAAAAATCCACGTCTTGAAGGCTCTTCAAAAAATATTCTTTAAAAAATCCACGTCTTGAAGGCTCTTCAAAAAATATTTTTTTATAAAATCCACGTCTTGAAGGCTCTTCAAAAAATATTTTTTTAAAAAATCCACGTCTTGAAGGCTCTTCAAAAAATATATTTTTTTTTAAAAAATCCACGTCTTGAAGGATGTTCAAAAAATATTTTTTTTTAAAAAATCCACGTCTTGAAGGCTCTTCAAAAAATATTTTTTAAAAAATCCACGTCTTAAAGGCTCTTCAAAAAATATTCTTTAAAAATGAATCCACGTCTTGAAGGCTCTTCAAAAAATATTCTTTAAAAATGAATCCACGTCTTGAAGGCTCTTCAAAAAATATTTTTTTAAAAAATCCACGTCTTGAAGGCTCTTCAAAAAATATATTTTTTTTAAAAAAATCCACGTCTTGAAGGATGTTCAAAAAATATTTTTTTTTTAAAAAATCCACGTCTTGAATGCTCTTCAAAAAATATTTTTTAAAAAATCCACGTCTTAAAGGCTCTTCAAAATTTTTTTTTTAAAAATCCACGTCTTGAAGGCTCTTCAAAAAATATTCTTTAAAAAATCCACGTCTCGAAGGCTCTTTAAAAAAATATTCTTTAAAAAATCCACGTCTCGAAGGCTCTTCAAAAACCGGGAGGAACCGTTATATAGGGGATATACGATATCGTGCACCTATAAAGACAATTCTCTTCCAGGCGATAATGTAATCACAAGGAACTCCTTTTGTGAATTTTCAGACAATTCCATTGAAAAATGTGGCTGAAATCATAAAAATACCGAATATCGGGAGGTGCCGTTATATGGGGGATATACGATATCGTAGACCTATATAGACAATTCTCTTTCAGGGGATAAAGACAGACAGACAATTCCATTGAAAATCGGGGCGTACCGTAATATGGGAGCTATACGATATCGTGGACCGATATAGCCCATCTTCGAACTTGACCTGCCTGCAGACAAAAGTGGAGGGTATAAAAAAACGATTCTCTTTTTTGATCTTTTTAATATGCCCATATAAAAATTGGACATATGGCGACAATTTTCTGTAATGAGGTATTTCACACCTTGAGAGAATTAAATCCGAAATTATAAATTTCCGAATTTTAGCCCTATGAGTTCATGCCATGCAAAGAGGTCCTGCGAAATACCCTTAAAAATCCCTTTAGCTATAGAAATCTTTTAATAGTACTCTAAGCCTTAGGAGACTAGTAAAATTTTTCTTTCATCAATGGAAGAACCCCTTTCAGAGGTTTGACCTTTGGTTGACTACCTTAGTTTTAATACGAAAATATTTCAGTGATTTCATAAAAATGGAAGATTTGGCCAAAAAAAATCGTATTCCAAGTAACGGAGTGGATTTGCAACACGCTGCCCTCACACCACCTCTCTCAAAATTACTCTTTTTCCACCACAACTGCAGTGCAGACCTCTGCCGGTGTTTATTAATGTGAAAATTATGCACAAAATATCTATCTATTTCTCAATCACAATCATAGGAAAAACTTTTTTCTTTTCCCCCTAAAGCCATTACAAGATTTTCCGTTTACAACAATACCATAATTTTTCATTTTAACGATGAGAAGCAAAAGAAAAAACAACAAAGCCGAATCACAAGAGATTTTTATGCTCTAATTAAAATTATCACTAGATTTGTTGTTGCCGTTGTTGTGTTTTTTTTTTAAATATATTATTACAACAAATTATGTTAAATTTGAACATTTAAGAAAATGTGAATGCGTTTAGCTCGGTAATAAAGCTCAGAAAGCACATTCAACACCTTAAATGGCTATGGCTCTAAAGAGAAGTGGTTGAAAAATACGAAAAGGCAACGCCATAAACTTTGAGGGAAAGGGGGAAGAGAGAGAGCGCGCGAGAGTAGCAGTGAGCTATAAAAATAAACTTTATTACATAATTCGTTTATGTGTTATGAAAAGCCAATGAAAAAAGAAAAACAAAGAAATGCAAAGCAATTTCCGTTTTAGCGTTTTCTTTCTTTGCGCGATATGCAAAAGCAGAAACTCAAGTTTTTTTTGTTTATAAATCAAAATTTAAATTGCTGCATGTTTTTTGGGGAAATTTTCACAAAGACCAGCCCCAAAAGGCCTAACAAAATTATTGCCAAACGATCTTCGTTGCCAAGAATGAATAAATCAAATTAGAAAATAGATAAACCTTAATTGTGTGCTGCATGGCGGCGTGCTCTGGGCCGTGTCATTAGGAAAATTCATGTAAACGCCTTTTATGCACAGATATTTTATTCATTTCATTCAGCTAAATTTATTCAAGCATTATTTTTTATACCCTCCACCATACATAGCATGGAGGGTAAATTAAGTTCGTCATTCGGTTTGTACAGGGTTGCCCATATTCGACGGACCCATCTGGCAACGCCATAACTTTTGACAGAGATGTCACATCGCTTAATGACATACCGCGTTTGAAGCGTCAGTCCAAGCAGATTTTTACCATGAGCCAATAAAAGCCACGCGAGCGCTCTGAAATAGTTGAAATTTACAAGAAGTCAATTGTGAAAACTTAACGTGTTTTTAAAACATTAAAAAATGTGAGAAGTGCGCCTTCTAAGAACACCATTAAGCGTTTATACGAAAAATTTTCGACTGGTAAGGCTCTTTCTAATCCGAAGAGGCCATATAAAAGTCGACCAAGGCGAACAGCCAAGAATATCGCTGCCGTACGAGCCAGTGTTGAGAGGTCCCCAAGAACATCCCTAAAACGCCGTTCTTAGGAGTTGGGCATGGCTCGGTCCACTTTACAACGGATTATTCGCATTGATTTGCATTTGTTCCGTACAAAATTCAATTGATGCAAAGAATGTTGCATGCGGACAAGCCTCGTCGATTGGAATGGGCCCAAAGGTCCGTCGAATATGGGCAACCCTATATATATATACTTGGTTAGAGTAAAATTTTAAAACGATGTAGCCCTGTCTGACCTTCTGTCCCTTACATAGTTACAACGAATTAATACAGGAAGCTAAAATTTTTCACAGATCAGTACATTATCTGCAGGCAGGTCAAGTTCGATAGTCCCCATATAAAGGCATTTTGGCCACATTTCAATGAAATTGTATGAAATCCACACAAGGAGTTCCCTCTTAGCACTTTACAGGGTGAGATAAAAAAACTGCAACAAAGTCAAACGCCATCATTTTTATTTTTTTTTTTTTAATTTTTTTTGAATGAAAGCAAAAAAGGTCGGAAATAGCATCATATTTTCAAAAAAGTTTAGATTTGTTCGAATTGGTCACGAATTATGGCCTTTGAACGGTCAATGAAACCGTCACACGCTGCCCAAATGTTACTCTGCGGTATTTTGGCCCATTCCCGGCGAAGCGCTTGCTTGAGGTGATCGACACTGTGGTATTTTTTAATGCCAACCTTACTTTTCAAAATACTCCAGACACAATAGTCCAACGGAT